GATGCCGCTCGTCTCGTACCTGGGAAGAGGGGAGGGAGCATCGTGGTGGGGATGGGCTGGGGGTGTCCCCTCACTGCCTGGGCTCTAGGAGGGTGGGGGGACATGGGGGCTCTTCTTGGCTCTGCCAGCGGCGGGATGCAGTTATTTCAACTTGGTTTCATGTCTCGCCTTCTTCTACCCCTTCAACTGCTAAATTTGGGGAAGGGGCCATGGGTTGAAGGTTGAAAAGCCCCTTTTGCATCAATCCTGCCAGGCTGTGGGCAGGAATGGCTCCTGCCAACCAATAATTTCTGATGGACAGAGGGATGCCGAGCCTCAAACTGAGCTTCCAACTCCCACTCGAGGGCTGGACTCGTGGGGGTCACGGGGCTGGTGGGGATGGCAGCACCGCACTCACTTGTAGACGTCGTTCTCGATGGGCAGCAGGTCGTAGCTCATGGCCTGGAAGGTCAGCTCGTGCAGCACCGGGGAGGCAGGGTCAAAGCCGCGGTCGAGGATGAGGAGCTGGGAACGAGCCTTGTCTGGACCCTGCGGAGCCGGGGGAGCCGTCAGCAGTGGGGCCAGGGGTTCCTCCAGCCCCCCAGACAGTCGGGGGAAAACAGGGACATTTTGGGGTCCCTGCTTGGGGTCTATGACTGCCAGGTGGCAGAGCTCGACTGGGACTTTAGGGGTGAAGCATCACCCGAGCATCCTGCCGGCACTGTCCCCGCTCACCTCACCCATGGTGGGGTCATCGGCCTTGTAGGCATCCAGCTTGTCCTGGATGAGCTGTGCCAGCATGGCGTTGTCCTTGTAGTCCCTGGGGGGGACAGGAAGAGAGGTCAGCCCCGCCGCGGTGGCATGGGGAGGAGCTGCGGGTTCCCTGCGCAACATCCTTGGCTCGTGGGAGAGGAGAGACCTGAGCAGGTTTTGTTGCCCCTTTCCACCTCTCCTCGGGGTGCTCTGCTTCGCCTTGCTCTATGCTACATGAGGTGCCACTGGGATTTTGGGTTCCTATACCCCCAGCTCTCCAGAGCAGCGCCTGAGCCTGTTTTTACTCTGAGCACAGCTGTCTGTC